ATAAAATTAAAAAATAATTATTTTAAAACAAAGGAAACATTACATTATGAAGTTCAAAATTAAAGAAAAACATTTATTTTATTAGAGATTGTTTGCTTTTAACATTAAATAATAAATTATGCAACGAAAATAGCTTTCTCTTTTCTTAATCTTTTTTTGCTTGCCTTTAAGAGTTGATTTTTGAGATTTGTAACTTAGAGACTTAGAACTCCTAACTACTTGACACATCAAAACTTTAAATTTATCTCTTTTTGATTTAAAAGAATAAGAGGAAAAGGAAAGGAATAGAATATCTTTCTATTTTTCTCACCTCTTATTTTTTTATTTAATTATGCTAAAATTATAAAAAAGTTAAAGAATAAACTTCTCACTCCCTTTCCCTTTCCTTTAATTTTTATTTATTTAAATAAGAAAGTTTATCCTTTCCCCTCAAATTAAAAGGGCGTCCACCTTATTGTTTTCAAATAGTTATTAATTATTAAATTTAATTGAATAGAATAAATTTTTTAAATTATAAATAATAATTATTATTAGTTATCATATATTAATTATTAACTCTTAGTTAGTAATCCAAACGTATGTTAAATAAGTTTTTAAAAGGAAATTTATATAAAAAAATATTTATTTTTTAATTTAAATTATAAAATAAAATTTATTAAATTGAGATGACCCAAAATATGAAGGGACTCCCTCCTTAAATATTGCTAACTTAAAATAATGAAAAAAAAAAAAGAAGAGTATAGAAGACATTTCATATAATTTTAAATGTTCATGTGTATCCAATTTAATTATATATATATTTTAAAATTTTAGGTCTTTATATTTATCTAAATCAAATCATAAATATATTATATATATTTTAAAATTTTAAGTCTTTATTGACGTCAATCTCAAGCCACAAATAGTTGAAATGAAAATTTTTTTAATTTATATTATATAATTTAATATAATATTTTTTTAGAAAACAAAAACAACATTTCAATATTTTTGTCCTAACAGGCTGCACGTCGTTGTTGGCGTGGCATTGTGAGAGATATAGATAGCGACGACTTCCTTACAACAGGACTTAACGGCCGTTAGACAGTTTTAACGCTGCCCACCTCACGCATTCGTGTTTGTAGGAGCTTCGTGCGTTTTCTTCCTAAAATCTCTCCGTTTATTCAATATTATCCAAAAAAACAAAAAAAAAAAAAGAAAACCCACCGATCTACATCTGCATCTCTCTGGCGGGAGTCCGCAGTCTCGCCGGAGATCCTCCATAGATTCCGGCGGAAGCTAAACACAGGGAGAGAGAGCGAAGGAGTGAGAGAGTGTGCGGGAGAAAACTCGTGATTAAAGAAATGAAGTCATACAAAAAAAATTAAGAGGGAAGGGGTGCGAGGGTGGTTAACGTGCAATGCAGGGAAAAGGAAGGCATGAAAGCAGTGCTTGCAAGGCACAGATGCCTAGATGATGCCTTCGTCATTCAATCTCCCTTGCCGTATGCCGTAATTTATTCGATGTTCTTCGGTTTTTCTCCCTCCCATCTTCGTTTTAAATTTCTCCTCCTTTCTTCTCTCATTCCTCCGTCTTAATTGCGCTGTCGTCGCCGATTCCTAACAAGGTGTGTATCTTACGCTCTTGGATATTTAAATTCTCCTCGCAATTTTTAATTAATCCTGTTTCCGATCCCGATCGGCTCCTCTTTTGGGCTCAAACACAGTTTCGCTGTCGCTTTGACTTTCGGGCTCTGCTCCGTTTGTTCTGGAAGCTGAATTTCAAGAATTTCGTTCTTTTTGTCCTTTTTTATGTTTTTCCCTGCTGATTCGCGATCTCGGTGATCTTCGTGAAAATTGCGTGTGCTTTTGAAATTAATTTCGGTTTAATTTTGTAAGTGTAGCTGGAATTATGAAAATGAAAATGCTCTTTTGTAAATTGCAACCTCAAAATTAAATGCATATTTATTTTTCACTTAATTGGCAAGATATTTAGTTAATATAAATATTGCGTGTGGGTTTTGATTTAATCACATACCATGATATTTTTATCCTCGTTTTCTATAAATTCCTAATTGTTTAGTAATTCACGTTGTTTGTATTGCAGAGTTTGTTTTCTGGAAGGAAATAGAGTTGTTCTTGTGAGAAATGAAAAGATTTCGAGAAATTTTGTGTGTATTGATCCTTTGATTCAACCATGCCTTCTAGAATGATGGACCTAGGGGGTTTGTCGTCGTCATCCTTTTTCTCTGATGATGTTTGTTTTCCGATAGAGGTACTCATTTTTATAGCATCAGAGTTCTGTGTGTTTTGTTATCTATTTGAGGAAGTCATTTTAATTCATGACCCAGTGTGCATTTTATGTTAGTTTACAAATTTGCTGTTTAGTTTGATGGAGATTCTGTTCTCTTCTTGACTGTTTTTTTGCTCTTGTTTTCTTTGTTTCTAGCAGGGACAGGTTGGGTTATGGAAGGCGGAATGCAGAATGGATCAGCATGGTTAGTATTTTGTGTAAATCTTGTGTACGTTTTATTTTTATAAACTTGTGGTGAAAGTGCCAACTCACTCGAAATGCTTTTGAACCTTGAAGCATCTAAACATCTTGAATCTGGGAAAAAAATTAAACCAAAAGGAATGAGAAAAAGAAAAGGTGTATTTAATGATGCTAAAAGTTCTGCAAATTGTACTGGTCTACTGTTACATTTGTTTGTGAAGTTGTAGATATGGATTAAGAAACCCTTAGCTATGTCATGCGTTCACTTTAATAAGGAAAATGACAGAAGAAGGAATGCAATGCTTTTAAATGTTTCACTGTAGGAATTTGGTGATGTCAAATCCCTTTCTTATTTGTGCTTTTAGGGATGATGATAAATACAATTGTTATTGCTGTTAATGGTCATGAGTGGAGCTAGAAGCAAAGTGAAAGAAAATTTGTACTTTTGGTTAATTTGTGTTTTTCTGGGCTGGATGCTTCTGAGGTTGGTCAGTTGGGAGTTAGGATAACTTGTTTGCTTAAAACATGGTAACTTAGTTCACTTAGAATGATAGGTAAATGTTCCACCTGACATTCAACAACTTAATTAACTTAGTCCACTTACAATCTTTATTAGTGTTCCCTTGACATTTGACAAATTAATTCAGGAAAGTAGAAAGTGTTACCTATTTGGATTTTGTTACCTCAAGCTAAGCTAAAAGATTTGGAAACTAAACATAAGCTGATGGATTTGGAAATTTTGAGAGATGGAGTATATGGGATTGCTTTGGTTTTGGATCATAGAGTGAATTTTATGTAAGTTGTCAGTTAGAGAGTTATTCCAGTTAATATGGCTATGCACAGCAAACCCATATGAACATGAAATTAATGCAATCTTCGAGTGAGTGTAAACTGTAAATTTCTATTTTGTAATTGTACCAGCAAAATTGCTAAGTTATAGAGTTTTTGAAAACATTTATTTAATTGATTTCACCGAGGAAAACATAATTTTATCACGGTTTTTGCCTCAGTGGAATTCTTTCCTTCTTACAATATCCATATTGTTCTTGTTCATCTTGAAAGTATGTTATTGTTGTCTCCCCGTCCAAAAACATGGAGATGTTGAAATTAGGATGAAAATCTTGTCTGTAGCAGCTTGATTATAAGGAGCAGCATGGTGGCCTTGGGAAGATTTGAAATCTCTTTAGGAATTATCTCTGGCTTGATTTTATCTATGCCATGGTGATTATCATTGATTTTGTAACCAGATCACAAATATTTGAACATAGCTCTTGCATTGGAGTTAGGAAATTGTGTTGTCATTGATGAGTAATATTTAATATGATTCTTCACACAGCTAATGGGAAATCAGTTACACCTACAAACCTAGAGAGAATTATTCCAGCAGAATATCAGAGAAATGAGTCACTGGGTCTTTACTTAGATAGTCATGCAGTGGGAGCAGAGACAGCAGCTGATCAATCCTCTACTTTCTTGGGACCGATCGACAGTGGTCTGGGAATAAAGTCTGCTTTGAATGGACAGCAGGCTTCATATTTTGCAGAAGGCAAGAAAGTTGATATGATGGCTTCAGAATATGAGAATAATCTCTTTTCAAGCTCATTGTCAGAGTTATTTGGTCGGAAATGTAAGTCTGCTCTGTTCTCACCAGTGTTTCCATTTACATTACAAATATAATGTTCAGTGTAACTTAAAGAAACCTTTTAATTGTATATCACACTACAAGATTTTCTCATATTTATCTTAAATTTCCCAGCTGCAATTTTCCTAAGACTACAATTGCTGATCCATTCTATAGATGAGCCTTTTTTTTAATAGAATTTTCCTTTTTGCAGTGAGATTATCTGCACATAACTCCCTGTATGCCCATTCATTTGACACTGTTGCCTCCCACTGTGAGGAAGAAGAACCTTTTGAATCCCTTGATGAGATAGAGGCCCAAACCATTGGGAATCTTCTCCCTAATGATGATGATTTATTTTCTGGAGTGACTGGTGGACTTGAAATGACTATTGGACCAAATTGTAGAGAGGAGTCAGAGGAGTTGGACCTTTTCAGCAGTGTTGGAGGGATGGATTTAGGAGATGATAGTTCTTCTGTCAAACTAAAAGGAGTTCCTGGGGAAGTTTCTGATGGTCAGCTTGGTTTATGTAATGGTGCAGTAGTAGGAGAACATGGCCTTTATGGGCACCCAAGTGGTTCTCCCAGTAACCGAACTTCAGGATTTTCTGGTATTGTTTTTATTACATAGATATTCTACTCATTATTTGAATATTGAGGAGCAAATAATATTTGTGTGTTCTTATTTGAATTATTTCAATTGGATGCAGTTGCACATGCATCAAACTTCTCTAGCAGCATGGATAATAGAACTATTTTGGGTGTAAACTCTGCTATAGGAGCCCCTTTCCTTGAACCAACATTTCATTTCAGCACCTCTTCCAGCAAATCCAACAGCTTGTCCTCATCTGTTGTGGAATCAGCTAACTTCCAGGGCCAGTTGAAATTTGATGTCCCAGCAGCACCAACCTTCCACCCTAATTCACTACCAGAGTATCAGGATGGTTTATCTGGAGGCATTCGCTGCAATTCTTCTACCCTTGTTGCTGCAAACATCAATGTCAAACGTCCAGAAATAATTGGTAATAGGGCCTTGCACAGGGTTAGCTCAAATGGACATGCAGTCAAATTCAATGAATGTGGTAAGTATGGTTTATCTTAAGCGATCTTGTTATTTTAACAACTTGAGAGCTTTTATTAAAACTCAAAGGGAAAAAGTGAAAATAAAGAACACTGTTTACTTCACTAATGAAAATCAAAAATTTCAATCTTGTTTGATGTAAAATTTAATCTATTTTGCCTTTGAATGAACTTTTAAGTAACTAGTAAACCACTTTTATAATCCCATTGACCTTCTATTTATCAGCTTCATATTTGTTGAACCTTATTTATAGTGGGATGGATTGTGGATGGTTTTCTTTACTTTGGTTTAACTGGTTGTTGCTATTTTCCCCCATTCAGGCTTTACATCTCTTAGCAATGGGAACCACCTTTTTTCTGGACATCCTTACTCATGGAGTAACTCTTATCACCCCCCGCCCCCAGGCATCATGTGGCCTCAACCACCCTCAATTGTCAATGGAATTTGTGCTGCTCATTCCCCGGGGAGATTGCATGGACTTCCTAGGACACCATCTCATATGCTTAATACAGTATTACCCATAAATAATCACCATGTGGGATCAGCACCGGCTGTTAATGCTTCACTCTGGGACAGGCATCATATCTCTGCAGGGGAGTCTTCTGATGCTTCTGGTTTTCATCCAGGTTCTCTTGGCAGTGTTTCTAATAACTCTCCACATACTATTGAGTATATTTCTCCCAACGTCTTCCCTCATGTTGGTGGAAACCACATGGACCTTTCAATGCACCAAAAACATGTTGGATTCCAATCACTTCATCCAAGGCCCACAATGTTTAGTGGGAGAGGGCAAGTTATTCCAATGATAAATTCAGTTGATTGTCCTCATGAACGAGCTAGAAGCCGGAGAAATGAGGGCAGTGTCAATCAGGTAGACAAGAAACAGTATGAACTTGATATTGACCACATAATGCGAGGGGAAGACAAGCGAACAACACTTATGATAAAGAACATTCCTAACAAGTATGTGGCTTCTCGCATTAACTCTGAGATTATCTAGATTATATTGGGTGTTTGTATAACTATTAGGTTCTATGATTTCTTGAAGAATTATCTTTGCTACATCTAGGACTAGGATGCAATAATATGTGTACTGTCAAGGATCTTGCAGTCATTTACTTTTAGCACCCATTGTAATTCTGACTATCAAGTCGTAACAACAGGTACACCTCAAAGATGCTTTTGGCTGCAATTGATGAACATCATCGAGGAACTTACGATTTCATTTACCTGCCAATTGATTTCAAGGCAAGTTCCTTCTTTCTCTGGAATATGCTTTTAATTTTGCAGATAAGGCTGCTGGTGTGAAAGAAAGATCTCTTTTTTTCTCCTTTTTCATGCCATGAAGTAAATTTGCTTTGTTGAGGAACTTTATCATTCTTTCACTATCAAATTTGTTTCAGAATAAATGCAATGTGGGGTATGCATTCATCAATATGATTGAACCAAGCCATATCATTCCATTCTACGAGGTTTGTTCTTGTTTAAACTTCTATATTATAGTGTGAAATAGGATGCTAAAGCTCTAAAAAGCGTGATTCCAATGCTCACAGGCATTTAATGGAAAGAAATGGGAGAAGTTCAATAGTGAAAAGGTGGCATCACTTGCCTATGCTCGCATACAAGGAAAAGCAGCTCTCATTGCACATTTCCAGAATTCGAGCTTGATGAATGAGGATAAGAGATGCCGACCGATACTCTTCAATACTGAGGGACCCAATGCAGGTGATCAGGTACCAAAATCATTTACCACAAAAAAGCATATTCTGATTAGGTATTGTACAGTTCAGGAACTTCTTTGGCATGAAATAGAAGCTAGGCAAGTTCGTCAAGTTTCCTGAAGGAATTTTAGTTATGAAACTCCATATATGGTGGCTTCAAGACTCATTGGTCAGGAAAAAACAGAATCTATGAAATTGATGATAAAGAAATCTCATTCCAGTTTTTTTTCTTTTTAATGCTTAATTTGCAGGTACCCTTCCCAATGGGAGTAAATGTTCGTACAAGGCCTGGAAAACCTCGTTCAAACTTCAATGAGGAGAACCATCAAGAAAGCACTACAAATTTGTCAAATGGAGAGAATCTTTCTAACGAAGAAACCTGTTCTGAAAAGGAGTAGGCGAGGCAAGCCCTTTATTTTTGTGGACACTAACCTTAATAGGTATGAGTAAATATAAAAAAGCGTCCATCGCAAACTCTTGATGATAAATATTGGGTTAGATGCACAGAGAGAGAAATTCCAACCAAAAAATATGAGAGAATGTATGCTTAGCCAAAAAAACTCGCGTGTTTTATGAACTTTCTTCGGACTTACTTCAATTCTGAAAGTGAAGTATCAGATGGAGCTTCAAAATTTTGAATGGTTTTGAGAGTAAAATATTGGAGTATATATGTATAATAGTTTCTGGGAATCTGGCAATTGAAGAGATAACTTTGACACCGCTGGAGAGGCCAGGGAGATCCTTGGCATTTTCACTTTTCAAGTTTTGTATTGATATCCAGTCCAGGGCCTTTATTCTGAGCTTTTGATTTGGTGGTTTATGGTATCTTGTATCTTCTCTTCTGAAAGAATTGATCCTTCCGTGAAATGTTTGTTGCTTATTTTCTCTGAACCTCGAAACTCCATTTTGTATCTATTTCATATCTATCTATTCAGTTCTATTTCACATTTGAAATCTGGTTTATTTGAGTTTTACAATATCTTCCTCTCCTATCGTGCCTATTCCCTGTTATCCTAATAATACCAAAGGATTAGGGGTATTTTAGTAACTTTCAAGGTTAAATTGCACTTTTAGGTTATAGTTAGTCACACATTTTAATTGTAATTTTAGTAGTTTATAGTTTTTTTAAATGGTTAGTTATAATATTTAAAAATCTGTTTATAAATTAATTTTAATTGTTGAATAATATAATATTAATTTTTTTTATCAATTATTAAATATTTTTAACAGTAAAATTAAGATAAAAATTTAATAATTTGTATGATTCTATCAAATTTAAGAGTAGTTATATCTACTGTTATATTTTTATTGTGTGATTTGAAAAACGCTTTTGTCTTCTTAAACTACTGGTTAAGTTGGTTCTTGATATATTTGAATTGGTAAATTTAGATTTGTACTCTAATTTAATATTTCTTTTTTTGGATTTTTAATTAATTTTGGTTGGTCAGTTGGTTAATATCGAGTTTGAAATATATCAAATCTGATAAACTGATTGACAAACAAGTGTTTGGTAAACTTTAGCCAGTTGATTGAAGTTGGTTAACCAACCCTTTGGTGAACCGGCCAGTTAACCAGTCAGTCAGTGTTGGTTGATTTCCAGGTTGAAATTATAATCTGGATTGACAAATAAAGATTGTGTTTAATAAAATTTAAAAAATATTTCTTTTAAAATTGATTTTTTTTTTTTACCAATTAGAAATTTTAGTTAAAAAAATTAAATATTAACTTTTATACATACTTTTAAACAAGTTTTAAAAATTAATTTTTAAATTTTTTTCTACTAAAATTTTAAATTTATAAAAAAAATTATATTTTAAAATTTACTAAACACCCGCAGTCCTCGGTTAACTTTAACCTGTTTGACTGAAGCTGGTTAACTAAGAAGCTAGTTAACTAACTTTAACCGGTCAGTCAACTGGTCAGTGAATTTTAACCCAGTTAACCGAGAAAGACGTCCACTCTACTCCACTCTCCGCTGCTTTTTCGCAAAACCAACGCCCTGTGGCTGCAGCCATTCAACATTTTCATTCAAAAACCAAAATACAAACTCCCTAACGGAGTCAGAGCATGATAGTTGAATTCACAAAAATCAATCTCAAACTGTTAAAAGCATGCATCAGAAAATCAACATTCCTTTCCTCAGTAATTGCCACTCCACATGTATCATGTGATGCAATCCTGAAAGAGAGCTAGACGCTACAATTTTCCCAGGTTCTTGGGCAACCCCGCGGTTATGTCTAAACTCACACAGTTTGAAAGCACCAAAAGAAAAATGAAAAAAAGTTTCCAGCCACAGTTTAAAGTGAAAACAATGAGTATACAGGTCGTTACATTACTGCGCAAGGTTATCCTGCCAATATACGTTTACCAATGAGGACTCTATTGATTGATCAGGATTTGTCAGCAGCCTGCAACACAAATAAAATGAATAAAAGTTATAAGAATTTGTTTACATGACCTCAAGCTGAAATATGAAGGCAAAATACCCAAATCCACCCCTAAAGTATAGTGACAGGGACGGATTCACCCTCGAACAAAAAACCGAGATAAATCCACCTACAAAGTTTTCAACTTGGACAAATCACCCCAAATTTAACATGTGACGTCATCTAATGTTGGTAATCTGTTAATTTGACATCATCTAACGTCAGCAATCTGTTATTAGCAATATAACAAATTAACGGATTGTTTTTGTCAGATGACGTCACACGTTAAATTTGGGTGATTTGTCCAAATCGAAATTTTGTGGGTGAATTTGTCTCTGTTTTTTGTTCCCCTACCACTATACTTTGGGGGAGGATTTGGGTATTCTACCAAATATGAATAGCATCTGAAACAAAAGCAACTGCTACCAAGGTGCCGAGATCCAACAGAACGCCATGGACACAACTGTTATCCATATTAACAAAGGGATTAACGTAAATGATGGCATAAACCATCACGCATGTCCTAGAGCCAAGAAATCTATTATATCACTGTTGGCAACTGGATGATGTGAGGTTTAGGTAGGTTTAGATTTCTCTTGGTCCCCAAAAAGGAGAGATGTGGCAGAAGGCTTCCATTAATTGTAAAAATAAATAAATAAAGAAAGAAAAAAAAGGCCAAACCAGCTTACCAGAAAAAGGCGAGAGCATCATTTTGGGTAGAGAATGTCATAGTGACCAGGACGATATAGCAATGTGATAAAGGGTTTCAAGGCCTTAGTGTCACAACTTTTAGCATCAGGATTAGTGACAGAAATAGTAGGAGTAAAGTCATGATGATTCACACTGACACCACTGTTACTGGAATCACATGTGCTACGATCAAGGTATACAACACGGATTGGCACGCCTAGGGCATCTGAAAGGGCAGTAATGTGCACATGATCACTCTCTTCGCCCATTGGCTCTACTGATGACTTGCAAAACTGCAAAACAGATTTTGTGTGTGTAAGAGATTTAAAACCTTAAGTTTACAGGACCTTGTGCTATTTGAGGTAATGATTAAACTTTGAAACCAAAGTTCACAGAACATAAATAGGAATCTCTACAGTTCAAATATAATAGCAAGGCAGGAATTTTAATAACTGCAAGTATTGACAATTTGTAGATTCAATGGCTGAAAAATATTAGCTGTACAAATATAGAGAATGCCCTCAAGATCTAAGGAGACAGTCCCACTATTAAGCCAGACTGAGAGTCAATGCAAACTTCAACTGATTTAAGCACCATAACAATGTCTTTAATCAGCTAGAACAATCCTACAGCGTCTACAAACATATCGAATACTAACATATACACCAAGAAAATTTTATATTTTAAAACAAACCTGTTCTACTGATGTATTTGTCAATCCCAAAACAAAGGGTTCAAAAAACTCTGCACGCTTTCTTATTTCACCAGAGGTCACAAATCTGAAAAACATTACAACTAAACAAAGCAGCAAAAATTCTGATGACTTATGAGATATAGTGAAGAGAAATATACATTAGTAACTTCAAATTTTTAACCCACTTACCATAGTCAGATACTGACTGATCTCGGCTCCTAAGTATCAGCTCATCATGACTGGGGAAAAGGAAAAACTAGTTAAAGAATGTCAGAGTAATCTTTCCCATGCAGCAAACTCAAAATGTTATCAGTATGCACCCATCCCCGAGTGAACAACAACGGTGATGACCCAAATTTCAAAGAAAGAAGAAATCAAGAACAAGTGACTAGCACACCTTATGGAAGTTTCACTTCCTTGAAGAACACTTTCCAGCTGCTCAAGGAATAACTGCAAAATTTTTGTGTAATTATAGAAATTAAGACTGCATTAGAGATAGGTAAAAACTTTCTCCAGACAAGTTGCATGGGGTCATCAAGATTTATGAAATGCTGACCATCTCAATATTACAGCATCAAGTTTAATTAATTAATCTGAGTCTTTTGCCCCCAATAAAAAAAAGAAAAGTTGGCATCGACCCAAAACAAGATAAATAAGAGACTTCACAACAGGTAATAAGAAAAAATTACAAACTAGAAAAGGAAAAACATTTCTTCTTCTTGTCTTCTTTATATTAATAAAGTGTTTGCTTTAATCCTTTATAACTAGGGTTACAAGAACGTCAGGATACATCTTACTCCAAAGAATGCAAGTCTTCTTCTTTTTTTCTTTTTTTCTTTTTTTCTAAATAAAGAAAAAAGAATTAAGTATACCTTTCTACGTCAAACTTGGCGAAAAAAGGAAAAAGGAAATAATAGGCTTACCGCAAAAAAGTCCTCAAAGGTAAAATCCACATAGCCTAAGCTCTGAAGTGTTTTCCTACATTCTTCAACATTTCTTTTGATACGATCAACTTCAGCTCGGTCTTGTGATTCCACGATATGCTCCTATTTAGAAACCAAAAATTTTAATACCAACAAAAATGGGAGAATGCCACTTCCCTCCAACAAGATGCTCAGAGAAACAAGACCAATGCAAATAACAAAATCAAATGCAGTTGTAATGTGTTCAGAAGATAGAATACAAGGTACGAAAACATAAAACTTCGGAAGAAGCAATTTCCATCTCCTCGTGTTCGCCGGATTGCAGCATATTGGTCGCCGAGCACCTGCACCAACAAAAATTAGCACATGCTTTAAAGGATAAATAAACAAAACAATTACTAGAAATAAGAAACAAAAAGAAGACAACAATGTCAGACATGAACATAGATTTAGGGAATATACCCTTATTTTCTCTAGCAAGATAGGGCTGCCAAATTCATATTCAGCGGCCAACATTGAGAGAGGTTCCTGCAATAGCATCAGCAGAAAGATTTGCATAAGCAAAAATTCAAGCCAAAATAGATAAATATGAATATTGGCCTTGCATAATTAAAATCTTGCCAAAAAAAAAAAGAAAAAAGCAGACCATAATTTCAATTCAATTTTTATCTTCAACAACAACAAGCTGATTAAACTATGATATAACACAACCGTATAAATTTCAATGCCAAAGGAGTAATAGAGAAAGTCCAACCAAAAAATGGAAACATGAAACATTCGCACAACTATATCATGTCTGAGTGTCCTAGTTTTGAAGCTTCCACAACTCATAAGGACATATGTAGCCAATTCTCATAAATGCATGTGTGGATGTTAGTAGAAAATGATGTCTATTCTATCTCCATACAGTACGATTATCACCATATGATTAAGTGCAGCAACTATGCAGTCACATCAGAAATAAACTGACAATAATCTAAAGTAAAGCAGTTGAAAAAATGATTAGAATCCCAGTAAAATTGCACAACCAACTTTCTAAAACTGGGTTGCTCTTACCTTGTCACCAACAAATGGAACTTTCTTTGCTTCCTCAGCCTGAATTGTAGATTGCTGCTGCATGATATCATCATCCACAAAGTTTTCCCAGTGCCCAAGCTCAAATTCGTTCAGTGGAAGAGTCTGAAGAGAACCAGTTGACTCTTTTTCTCCATCAGCTACAGGCCCCTCCTGATTCTGCATCTTCTCGCAAAGAAACACAGACAGTTGTGTTTTTCTTATTCAATATCCTCCAAACTGCAATAGGAATTATATATTTATCACCTTCTTACAAAATGTCAACAATCTTCTGGACCAAAAGAATAACACAAAAAATAAGGGTTACATAGCCTCATATAAATAACCCAAAAGCAAAAGTTTTGATTATCCTTTAGAACAAAAAAAGAAGCTCCACTAACACTGTCCATGTCTAGTGCACTATACCCATAAAAATTTATTACTTCTGATAATGCACTTAACCAGTCAAGTAAACAAATCACTGCCAATCTCATCTGTAATCAGTTGGAAAAAAAAAAAAATGGTATTATTAGATTCCAAGAATGCAGCAAGGAACAAAATTCAACCCAAGATCAAGAACACCACCTAAAAATGAAAAATCCAAGAATACACGCACAGAATTCAACCCAAGACCAAGAACACCACCCAAAAAAGAGAATCCAAGAACACACACAGAATTCAACCAATCAGACTAAAAGATAAAAAGGGCACTACTTTCTGTTGTCTATTATACAAACAAAACTCCACTACAAAAATTGATGTTCCCCACATGCCAACTTCTGCAAAAACCTACAACTCCAATTTTTGTCCCATATACAAGAACCCATTGTTACTTTCCCCTGAATAAAGCTACAGGACTAAACCCAAACAACATTAACAAAACCTTAATCAACAACATCAACCTTTGTTCTTCACAGGGGAAATAGAAAAAGGATGAAAATGAGGGATTAAAGCAAGTGGGTATACCTTAATTCAGAAACTGGAGTGGTTTCTTTGAAATCTTTCTGGTGGGTCTTAACCCAGATCGAATATTCAATGATTGAGTCTTCTATGATGGATTCTTCTGGAGGTCATTCGGAAGCAATCAGCGGATAAGTCTGCACTTCAGCTTCCCTGCAAGTTCTTACCCTTTTTTTACCATCTCTTTTTATTTATTTATTTTGTGAGCTTCCTTCAGTAAACGCCCCCAGCTAAGTCGGGATAAAGTTACGAAAATTGGTCTTCTTGACCTTTGGGCTGTTTGCTTAAAAGCAATGTTTTGAAACCTGAACCAGAGACAGAACCATTTTGCTCACGAATCATGATTCACGGCTTGAACGATCCGACCGGCCGGTCTGTTGGTCTAAATCATAAATGGCTGTGTTTTAGGGTTTAAAGTATGTGTAATCTCTTATCTTATTAAATTTAAATTTTTTAATAATTCACTTTTACGTTATGGAGTTTTTAATCTTTGAAGTTAAAAGTATAAATAATTGATAACTCTTTGTTGGAGTGATAATAAAAAGTTCATAGGACTAATTCTCAAATATTAAAAAGATGACAATTTAGTTTTAAAATTTTAAAAATTAAAAATTTAATAAATTAAAAAAAAATAATAAATAATTTTATCATGTACATGAGAATAATATTAAATCTCTACAATAAAATCAAACCATTAGTTTAATCTAAAGAAAAAGTTCTAACTAATTTTTTAAAATTTTAAAATTTGAGAACTAAACTATCACTTTTTTAATTTTTAAAAACAGATTTTATCAAGTTTTTATTATCATTTTAATAAAAAGTTAACAGATTTGGCTAGGGGCAAACACATGCTTTTGGCTGGCATGTAAGTGAGGCAAGTTTACTTAATTCACAAAAAATGTATAGATATACTATATGGATGGAAGAAGATGAGAGACAGGCTACCATCCAAAAACAAAAAGGAGATAAGTCACTGATCATTTGATATGTAAAATAGATTTATAAAAATATTTTTATTTATTGACATATTATTGTAATATATATATTTATTTATTTTTTGGCTTTGTCCTTGCTTGCAAGGCCTCCAATCCAAGCTCACTGCAAATGCTGTGTTAATTATTTGGTGCACACTCCAATTAACTGTCGACTTTTCATCAATAAAATTGTGGGTACTACCAAAGTAAATAAGAATTAATGTGGTTTGAATAACCCCATAAATTTGAGTATTTCCTATAAATTCAATCCTTCCCTTTTTTTTTTCTTTTTTTTTCTTTTTTTACTACAGATCAACATCATTGTTTTGATTTTTATGATATAAATACAAGTATTCATGTTAAACCCTTCGAGTACATAAAACATCTGCATGCATTGCCATGTTTATCTAAATCTTTTTACTATTCAAATTGAACCCTTAGTGGGGTGTAAGAGTGTACATTTTACAAGCATGAGAATCCACTCGAGCAGAAAGCTGAACTTGCACGGATGAGTGTGAAGAATGCTGCACATTGTTTAATTTAAGATAAAAAAAAAAGAAGAAGAAATTAGGAAAGAAATTGAGGGAAGTAAGAAACAGAGATGAAGTTTTAATGTTTATAAGGAAGATTACCATCCACAAATCTCGAGCATCGACAACAGTAGAGGAGTTTAGCCCTATGTCAGACCAATATGCAGTAATATTTGCTGTGGAAGATCCTCTGTTCCATAACACCACAGCCACCTTGTTATCAGCCAAAGGGCCCGCCCATACCTGTACCATTCTATAATTCAATGCTAGGAAAAAGCTTACAATCAACAAGAGTTTTCCCATCTGCTGAAAGTTTTTTGTTTTACCTCAAGATCCGCTGTATTATTCACCTTTTTCCCCTGCACCCCAAGTTCATCTGCAGAGTTAAAATATCTGTCATACTCAAAAAGTCTTTTGATTTCTTCTATCTACCTAGTCACTCACAAGACGTGTTTGTTTTGCCATTTGGCAAACAGTTATTAACTGTTGATTCGAATCAAATAAACTAAATACTTTAAATTATAAACAACAACTATGAGTCATCACATATTACTTATTTACTATTTGTTATCTCTAAACAGCTAATCTAAGCATGCATATAGTTAGAGCAATGGAAATAATATATAGCCATCACCTTGATTGACTGCAATAACCTCTTTATTGCTTAGCAATTCAAAGGTTACATTATCCATTGATCGAATATCGCAACCAATCAATAGAGGAGCCTGTGAGTAAGCAACCATTAAAATAGTCATGAGATAGATTCATGGATAATAAATAAATATCTAAACTTTTTGGATCATACTTTAGCCAATGCCCATATGCTAAAATGGCAGCGGTATTCTTCTGTAGTCATTCCACCATTTCCAACTTCAAGCATGTCAGGATCTATCCTTGCCATGCATTGAAAGGTTAGAAAAATTATTTCACAATCGTAATTAAATATGAAAACAGTTGTGATATTCAGTACCATTCCAAGCTCCTGGTTTTGCATAAGATGCCCATTTGTCGTTCTGATCAGCTATAGATGTCATCCTAAACCACAAACATTATCATCACTTCCCCAAAAGAAAAAAGGTAAGATATTTTGAATCTAAAATGTATTTCAATTTAACATTGACTGAGAGGTTGAGACTCAAGATTAATTTCCTCGTAATTACTTCATACTCTCTTTGATTTTTTTAGTTGTCTTAATTAATTTGATGATTTTATATAATAAATGAATAACAATTAAAAATATTTTTTGATCTAAGTAAAAATACTCAATAAAAATTATGTATAAGAGAGAAAAAAAAGTTTCAGTTATCATCTATTTATTACATATAGTAATTTGATCAAACTTTATATAAAAATCGAATTGAGAGAACTAAACCAAACTAGAGAGAGTAATGATCAGGCATCTTGTTTCACTAACAATTTTTCATTAACATGCATACCTATCCCAATTATCTTGAATATCATCAGTTGTTCTCCAACTATTTCCCAAATTTGGTGCCCAAGTTGCCGGATCATCTCTTCCCCTGTACATATATATTCAAGAGTTTGTGACTGTCTAAAGATAGTGCTTGTTTGTAGCAGTTTTGAATTGGCATTCAAAAGAAATATTTTGCCCCAATTTGATAAGTAAAGAACCTTACCATTCACATAAAGAGAAAAAGATAGACCTCCCCGATTTGAGAAGGGCTGTGCTCATATTCTGGTACCTTTGGACAAAATAATCCAATTATCAACAAAAATTGAAAATTTTCATGTTCGTTGGTATAATTGATGAATACATCTTCTAGCATTGTTTCATTTAAGTCTCATATTTGGTAATTAGATGAAGTTGTCATTCGTTGATCAAACAAACTAAAAAAATATAAGATAAATATCATAGCAAATAGTAAGAAAAGAATTACTGTATCTATGGTTCAATCAATTTTCTTCTAATGAAGATTGAAAGAAGGAAGGAATTTTGATCAAAGGAAAAAAAAAAGAGAGAGAGGAAGATTAGCTAAAACCAAGGGAGATGTGTTATATTGGCTCTCCCTTCCTCTATCAACTTATACTAGAAGAAAAATGGAATAAGAACTCCTCGTTTTCTACCGTCTCTATTTAATTTATCATACTTTTATTATGAAAAAATATTTTTCAATATAAACTATATATATATTTTTTTTGTGTAGTTCAAGTATTGAAATTACTTAAATATATTTAATGAAACACATCTCTAAACTTATTTATTAATTGTGTTTTTGTAATTTTAATGTTCAAACTGTCCAAAAAAAAATACTGTTGGTACTAAAAAAACACCTTTCTCTTTTTATAATTTAACCAAATTATAGTCATCATTCCATGAACCAACCATAAGTTAAAAGATTAGGTAAACTACCTTTTTTCTGGGCTTATACCATGCGTATCTTCACAGTTATCATACTTCAAGTAATCGACCCCCTAGACAAAATAAGCAGAGTGACTCCCTTATACAACATCAAAATATGAAGAAACAGATGTGGATGTAAGGGGGAAGAAAAGGAGCTACACAAGAGGGCCATACTGCATACCCATGAAGCAAAGGTTTTTGCATCTTGTTCTTCATATCCTAGTGAACCTGGCATGGTTTTGCTACAAGTTTGCGTCCTATCAGAATGAGTAAAGACGAAGATTGTAATCAGATACCATTTCTTGACATTATATGCATAAGTGCATGCCAACTATTTTTAGGCTATAGGCCTGTAAGAATCAATACCCAGCATCTGAGTAAATTCCAAGCTTAAGCCCTTTGCCATGGACATAATCTGCTAGAGCCTTAATCCCGGAAGGAAATGTTGATGCTTTAGCAACCAAATTCCCCTGTTCAATTCAAGCACCAGCATTTAGTTATTGCAAAAACTCTTCAGTTACAACTCAAATTATCGGAGATCTTTCATGGGAGCATATGAACATCCATCTGGTGTGCATAAGTGAAGTTGTTTGCTTTTGGAGGGAGAATTATATTTAATCTCCCAAATTTTGAATAAACATCTTACTTTCCGGAGGTATAGGAAACAATGCACCACAAAAACATAGGAAAAGGGTAAGATTTATCCACCATAACAATGAAGAACTTCAATGCGTGTAATTTAATGAAAAAGAGCATGGAGGAAAATCCAACCTGGGAATCTCTATTTTGTTCACCCCAGCAATCGTCTAATGAAACAGGTGAAACTAAATTAGAAACAATGACCCAAATGCATAACAAATCAGAATGGGATGATATAAGGTAAATAAATAATGTTTAACTACTGCACCTATATTGATGTAGGTATACCCAACACCAGCAAGCCCAGTTGACACCATTGCATCAGCTGTGTACACAAATTTACTGTAATCATAAATAATTGGTCATAATATATAAAGTTGAAAATAGTAAAGTAACTTCTTTACCTGTCTCCTTGATTAATTTTTCATTGATGTCGCAGTGGAAGTGGTTCCAACTGTTCCACCTGATCAACACAGTAAAAGAATAAGAAAATATAAGGATAGCTTCCATAGGCATGTTAGTAAAAAATGGCTGAAATTAGTTATATCCAAATTTGGATGATCTTGGCCAGGGCTGAGCATTTGGAAATCGAACCGATGGTTACCTAGAAATTAAACATTAAAAATGAATTTGGTTCGATTTCAATGGTTTTTGGTTTTATTGTTTTGATTTTGATGTTAACCAAATAATTTTTGGTTTGATTTTGGTTGAATCTTTCAAAAATTAAAAACCAAAAATAAACTTCTGAAAACCAAAATTATGATAAATATGATAAAATAT